TCCTGGGGTCATGTATACATTCTAGCAGCTGCATTCATTGGCTTATTTAGCAAACGACCTGGCAGAGGATAAGCAGTCAGTAATAGAATCCTGTTGTTATTATTAACAACTGAAACCGAGTGCCACCCATATGCCAGGTACAGTTCAAGGGTGTTGGGAGATGAGCAAGATGCGTCCCTGCCTCTGGCTGTCTCCGGGCCATTGAAGGCGACTGACAAGGAACGTGCTGTTAAACTGAAGGTGATGGAGGCAGAGCAGGAACAGTGCGCTCCGTGCCCCAGAAGCGCATGAGGAATGGCTGACTACCCCCGAGAGTGAAGACCTCATGAAGGTGACATCCGGGCTCTGCTATGGTCTGAATGTGTCTCCCCCTGCCCCCCCCCCCCCCCCCCCCCCACCAAGATTCTTATGTTGAAATACCACCCCCGCCCCCAGATGAGGAGCAGGCCATAGGTGTGGGTTCTCCAGGTGTGCCGGGAAGGAGGGGGACATAGAGTTCGCCCCATCTACCATGTGAGGACACAGTGAGAAGGCTCCAGCTTGGAACCAGAGAGAGCTCTTACCACAGTGCAAGCGAGCTGGCCTTGCCCTTGGATTCCAGCCTCCAGAACCGAGAGAGGTAAATTTCTGTTGTTTACAGTCGCCCAGGCTGTGGTATTTTGTTAGAGCAGCTTGAAGGGCCTAAGACGGGCTGTTTCTCCAGGGCTGAGTAGAAGTCTGCCAGAGAGAGAAGAGGGGATTATAAACCTCTGGAGAACTGCTGCCAGATGCCTTCCATAGGGAACTATTACTCTAGGCTTGTCTGGTGTCACCGACAAGATAACTTTCTCCTGAGAATTTCCTGTTTGAACTTGGCTTTGATCTTTGCAAGTACTTTCCTAGAGCAGACTGAAATTTCTGGCATATTCATTGTAATAAAAATATATGTATGGCCCTAACCAGTTTGGTTCCGTGGATAGAGCGTCGGCCTGCGGACTGAAGAGTCCCAGGTTCGATTCTGGTCAAGGGCATGTGCCTTGGTTGCGGGCACCTCCCCAGTGGGGGGTGTGCAGGAGGCAGCTGATCGATATTTCTCTCTCATCGATGTTTCTAACTGTCCCTCTCCCTTCCTCTCTAAAAAAAAATCAATAAAATATATTTAAAAATATATATGTTCTTAAAAAAATCTGATTTATATCTTTCACTTTTCACTGACAAACTTTATTTACAGAAATAAAGTAGGACTTCCTAAAATCCCCAAATGCCAATAATCTATATTCCCCCATGCGAGGTTACTGAGTTTCTATATGCTTTTAAAGTTAAGTTTGATATACTTTATCCAGCATTTTTAGGTGTTTTGTAGTGAGATTATTTTCAATTTAGATTGTTCACCTTATCACCAGAAATCCCAGTTCTGAATACCTAGTTTGAAATAACTTGAGTAATTACGCTGATAGGAATACTTCTACTGGCCAGTGAGTTGTAACGTGGTCTAGGATGAATGCCACTGGCTCCCCCTGGGAAACTTCTAGTTGTTGACAATGCCTGGGAAGCCTCTAGACAATAGCCCATCTTGACCACCCATTCCTAGTTGTGTGAACCAGTTCCTTCCTGACAGGCTTTTCTGCTTTTTTAAGAGACAGAGGAAGAAAAGAGAAAAACATTGATGGGAAAGAATGAAACATCATTGGTTGCCTCCTGCATGCCCCCTACCCGAGAAGGAGCCAGCAACCTGGACATGTGCCCTGATTGGGAATCGAACCGGCAACCTTTCAGTGCACAGAATGGCGCCCAACCAACTGAGCCACACCAGCCAGGGCCTAACAGGCTTTTCACGCACCCGGTGAAGCTGCCCTGTCATGTATTCATGCATTTTTGTATGTATACTGTATATCTAGCTATCTCCTTTTAGCCAAGAGTCCCATGACAATCACCACAATATGTCAGCTACTGATCTCTGTCATTTGAAGTGAGCCTTAGAGAGGAGCTTGGAACCAAAAACTGTATGTATGTCCATAACAATTGCTAACTTTAGCCCAGAAGAGGTTATCTTACATTTCCGGCATTTTTAGGATTCCAGCTAAAGATTCTACTATCATGAACTCTCCTGCCCAGATCCACCCAATGTGATGTAATTCCTTAGTTTTACCGCCAAGGAAATAACTAAGATTCCGTATTGCAAGGCAGAGCTAATGGCAGAGAACATGTCTGTATTCCATTCCGATGGATGTGGAGCTGCACAGTCTCTGGACGCAGCCATTCTTGAGGAATCAGTATCCAGTGCCTTCCCCAGCTCAGACGCACCTCTGAAATGGTTGTCAGGTGTTCATTCCACAGTGTGCATTTCTTTTGGCAGGAACACCCAGCCTTCATCTTGCCAAGGGTGGTTATGATAGAACTAGTGGCCCAGTGCACGGATTCGTGCACACTGAAAGGAAATTAATTAGAAGGTGGCCAGTGGGGTGGGACTGGGCGGGACAGGCTGGACATGCCCTGGAGCCAACTTCCTGTGGTCCCTCCCTGGCTGGCCACACATGGCTCGAAAGGTGTTTGCTGAGTGAGTGGGGTCCCTCCGGCAGGTGGGGTCCCTCCGGCAGGTGGGGTCCCTCCGGCAGGTGGGGTCCCTCAACCCGGCCTGTGGGGATCAGGCTGAAACCGGCTCTCTGACATCCCCCGAGGGGTCCCAGAGTGCGAGAGGGCACTCTGCAAAGTTGCTGTCACAGAGGGTGTGGAACGCAAACACAAGTGTGCAGTAAACCAGATTTGGGGTTGACAGTGCCCCAGTAAAAACAACCCACGGCCAAAGGTGGAATCACACTGCTCCCTCCTCTCTGGTTTTGGGGTGCGTCACCTGAGAACTGCCACTGCCAAGTCATTGCAGTGCAGCAGCTCCTGCGTTGAACATCTGCCTCCTGGTGGTCAGCGTGCATCATAGCAACCGTTCGGGCGGGTGGAGGGACACTTAGCATATTAGCTTTTATATATATAGATGCACCTCTTTAGTGACTGTGGCATTCTGAATGGCAGAGTCACTGGCTAGGGCCTTGAACCAGCCATTATAAACTCCCAAACAGTTGCCAGCAGAGAGTCTCATCTATTTACTATTTCACTTTTGGATTAGGAAAAAATAGCTCCACTTAAATTGTAACCATTTAGGTAAACTTATTATTTTGCAAGTTTCTGGAAACTCATTTTACTTAAAATATATCTGGATGTGTAGTGACTTGCAAAGTTTTCATTTTTTCTTTTTTCTCGCTGGGAGGAGCTGGGGAAGGTTTTATGGAAGAACTGGCGTTCGAACTGAACCTTCAGGAGTCGAGAGCAAGTGCAAAAGGGAAAAAGTGAGTCCCTCCCCGGCAGAAAGCCCAGCAGGAGCCGCAGGGCACATGGGGTGTTTGGGGGAATGGCAGTTCTGTGTGTCCAGAGCAAGGCAGACAGGGCTGCAGAGGTGGTTCAAGGCCAGAGTAGCCTTGAACCACCAGGGCCTCTGTTTTGGTCAGATCTCTTGGGTTGCAAGAGACAAAAGACACAATCCCAAGAGGCTGAAATGGACAGAAAATCTACTGACTTAAAAAACTGAAAAATTCAGTTTACCGGCTTCAGGTAAAGCTGGACCTAGGGGCTCAATGATGCCACTTGGTCTCCCATCTCTCTGCGTCTCCCTGCGGTGGCCTCACTCTGGAACAGACCCTTTCCAAATGGAGGCAGCCCAGGCTGATACCTTCCCAATTCCGAGGCCAGTGGAAGGAAAGATTCATTTCTCCCCCAAAGTTTTCATTTTTGTAATAATATTCACTGTATAGCTGCTACACTGTGCAATACACACACAGCACATTTTATAACTTTATACTGGAAAAGAGGACTTAAAAGTCTCCCTTTGATTGATTAGCAGTGATGAAAACAAACTGTTTAACTGGTTATACAAGATTAATTAATAAAATTAGAGACTTTTAAAGGGAAAAATATCTCCTAAATTATATTTTAAAAGAAATGTGTTTAATTTTTGCTACTGTTACTTCCATACTTGGTATTTTGTGTTTGTTTTCCTTATTTGTGAATGTGTGTCTTGCTAGACTAAATTATTTTCATTAAGAATTTTGGCCAGCCCAGCCAGTGTGGCTCAATGGCTGAGCGTTGACCTATGAACCAGGAGGTCACGATTCAATTCTCTGTCAGGGCATGTGCCCGGATTTCGGGCTCGATCCCCAGTGAGGGGTGTACAGGAGGCAGCCGATCAATGATTCTCATCATTGATGTTTCTATCTCTCTCTCCCTCTCCCTTCCTCTCTCTGAAATCAATAAAAATATATTTTTTAAAAAGAATTATGGCCAGCCCTAACCAGTTTGGCTCAGCGGATAGAGCATCGGCCTGCGGACTAAAGGGTCCCAGGTTTGATTCCAGTCAAAGGCATGTACCTGGGTTGCAGGCACATCCCCAGTGGGGGGCGTGCAAGAGGCAGCTGAATCGATGTTTCTCTCTCATCAATATTTCTAACTCTCTATCCCTCTCCCTCTCCCTTCCTCTCTGTAAAAAATCAATAAAACATATTTAAAAAAAGAAAAAGAATTATGGCCAGAGTTAGAGCTTGGGACCAGTGAGAAAGAACAGATTATTATACCTTAAAAGTACAGTCTATTTCTCTAATGCCTGCTTGTGAACCACGCTATTTTGCTGAAATGTCTTCAGAAAGTTCTATTAAAGAGTAGCCTATGTATTATACCTAATATATTTTCAGTAACTATTTGTTAAATGCATGACAGACACAACTAAAGCTGAAGCTGTTATTTGGAAATGATGTTGTTGAAGTGTCAATAAGGACATTTAAAGTTATAAATGGTGATAAACGATCTTAATGTAAATTACTATCCTACTGAAACTCAGTACAGTATGTAGCTCTAAAAGGGAACAACAAAGGTATAGTCATCACAGCTACATGCTTTCCTAAACGTTCAGGAGAAGGGGCAAAAAAGAGAACTAACGTTTTTGGATATTTATATACACCACAAACTAATCCAGGAACTTCATAAATCTCATTTAATCCGTACAGCAAAGTAGGCTACATATAAAGGAAATGAGGTTCGGAGAAGTCTGGAAACTCACACAGCGTTCAATGCAGATTGCACACGGGCCTGCCTGGTTCCGCGGCAATCCCCGCTGCAGTGTCCTGTACATGGATTTGGAACCATCATCAAATAGTTCTGGTAGCTCTGGGCGGGAAAGGGTAGAAAAATGTTCGAAAGTCATTCTTATGACCAGTTTGCTTCCTGGTTCCTAACCAACCAAGGGGATTATGTGAGGCCACTTTGTACACAGTCGTCTCCATATCAACGAGCACAGCAGAACCAAAAATCTTTCCAAAGACGTTGTCCTGCGGGCTTACTATGGCCTGCTGCTCAGGGGAAGAGGAGACTGTTAGGACCCTGGCACCATTATTTTCCCCGAGTAGCAACCCTTTTAAAGCCAGCTGCTGGGCAAACATCTTCCTGAAGATATGTAACACTTACTGACTGATCTTACCTCCTTTTGTTCCAGCCTAAGGCTGAATTTCCAATTACATAAGGCAGGAGAAAAGAAACTCTACAAAGCTTAGTAGTTAAGGGCACAAGTGTCAGAGTCAGACAACCTTGGATTATGAATCCTGGCACTGCCTCATACAAACATAAAGTTATTCCATCTCTCTGGGCCTTCATTTCCTTTTCTGTAAAATTGGTTATAACAGTATCTCAATCACAAAGATTTTGTAAGGATTAAATGAAACACCTCTTAAGCATTTACAATGCTTGACACATTAAAAATACTTAATAAGCCCTAGCTGGTTTGGCTCAGTGGATAGAGCGTCAGCCTGCAGACTCAAGGGTCCCAGGTTCGATTCCGGTCAAGGGCATGTACCTTGGTTGTGGGCACATCCCCAATAGGGAGTGTGCAGGAGGCAGCTGATCGGTTTCTCTCTCATTAATGTTTCTAACTCTATCCCACTCTGTAAAAAAATCAATAAAATAAAAAAAAAAAACTTAATACGTGGCAATTCTTATTGATGTGCATGTTGAATAGTGACCAAGTTATGTTCTTTCTACATGCAACTGCAAATGATCTTCAAGGCTGTGAGCTCAGAAAACCTAGGCGGCCTTCATGAAGGGCTCTGCAACCAAAGGCAAGATTTGTGATTCTAAGGAGGAAACAGAACTCATTAACAGAATTCCTTTAGAGCTAAATTCCCATTTGATAGGGAGTGATGGCTGTAAGGCTCCTTTTTGCTTACCTGTTTAAGTCTGACCACGATTTTTGATATTTCGAAATCACACTTGGTATTTATTTAGTAACTTTCCCCAAAGAAGCTCAAAACCAGTTTGCCATCAAAAGAAATTTTAGAACCCTGAGACCCGGAAGTAATGCCGCCCGCCCATGATGGGCAGCCGGAATCCAGGGAAGGCCAGGCCTGGCACCGCGCTCCGCAGGGGACTGCGGTGCAAATGGGATCCTTTTGTGATGTCTAAAGAGTGTTTTGTTCCTCAGGCTTCGAGAAGGGTGGACAGCAGCGCTGCAGGAAGAGAGGGAGGCCTGGCAACTGTCTGCACGAGAAATAAGGAGGCTACAGAGTCCTCGCTGGGCTACGGGCGAGGTAAGGGTGGTAGGAAGACAGGTCCGCAGACGGAGCTGACAGCTCCCAGACAGGAAACGCAGCTCCGGGCTGGCATCGGTGAGGCCGCGTTTCCGCCCCGAGGCTTGTGAGGTGTCACACCACCCAGCAACCGCCTCCCAGAATCACGAGTGTTGGGTTCTTAGCAACCCTTTCCGACGCACACGGGCTCTTTCAGTAAAACATAACCCAACCGACAGATTGAAGGATGGGCATGGAGGGCGCACAGCACCCCTACAACCGGTGGGGGCCTCGGGTCCACGGCCTCCAAGAGGCGCAGTCCCACTCACCCGCGCGGCCGCCGGAAGTGCTCCTCCCCCGGATGTCGCCCCGCCCCGCGGCGCGCGAGCGTGTCGTCACTTGCGGTCGGCCAGTCAGGGCGCGCGACCAAAATAGCCCCCTATAAATTCTTGCGGGGCCCGGGCTGCCGGCGCCGTGCCGCTCGCTGGGTGGGGCTGCGCGCGCAGGTGGCGGGCGGGGCCGGGCGGGGTCGGAAGGGGCGGGCCCTGCGCACCTGTTTTTGCCCGACGTAGGCGGGGCAGGTTGTCCGGCTTCTCCCCAAGCCTCGCACAACCCGGGGTTCCTGTGTGAATAGCTCTGATGCGGCTGCGCGCTCGTTCCGCGGAGTCATCGCTCCCCTCCTACCGTTCCCTCTTGGGAGCAGCGCCCCCCGCGGCCTGCGTGGTCGTAGGGCAAGTTCAAGGACCGACGTGAACCGAGCTTCCGGTGGTGGCTCCTGGTCCTGCTGGGCAAATGGTAGTGCGGCCAGCGCTCAGCCCCGAGGAAAGTCTATCAGCGGTTCTCAACCTGTGGGTTCTCAACCTGTGGGTCGCGACCCCTTTGGCGGTCGAACGACCCTTTCACAGGGGTCGCCTAAGACCATCCTGCATATCAGATATTTACATGACGATTCATAACAGTAGCAACATGCCAGTTATGAAGTAGCAACGAAGATAATTTTATGGTTGAGTCACAACATGAGGAACTGTATTAAAGGGCCAGGAGGTTGAGAACCACTGGAAATGAACGGAGGCGGCTCTGCCCTCTTCGGAGGCTCCCAGCTGTGGGTGGAAGGCAGGGTCCGGCCCAGCGGAGGTCTGGTGATGAGATGCGCATCCTTCCCCGGAGGAAGAACCATTTCAGGGCGGGAGGCGGTCCTCGGGTCACCTTTCCGGGAAGAGGTGACTTTCGAGCAAATCGGTGGAAAAGCTAAGGCTTTGGCATCGAACACCCGTGGGTTCCAGCCTCTGCTCGGGCCACACTCCGCTCTGTGACCCTGAGCACAGCGGCCAGCCTTGGAGTGTTCCCATCCTTAAGACGCAGAGAGCAGCTCAGGCCCAATACCTTCCTGAGGCGCCCCCCACCCCCATCATGTTCATTTCTCTTTATGTCCCTCCCTCTCTTCTTTCCTCACTTCCTCTCCTCTCCATTTTCTTTCTTTTCTTCATTCCTTCATCTTCCTTGCCTTTTTTCTAATTGAGGTATAACTGACACATAATTAAACTGCACAGGTTTTAAGAGGGTAGCTGGTGGCCCTCGCCGGTGTGGCTCCGTGGATAGAGCTTCGGCCTGTGGACTGAAAGGTCCCGGGTTCTATTCCCCTCAAGGGCACATGCCCGGGTTGTGAGCTGGATCCCCAGTAGGGGGCGTGCAGGAGGCAGCTGATCCATGATTCTCTCATCATTGATGTTTCTCTCCCTCTCCCTTCCTCTCTGAGATCAATTAAAAAAATTTTTTTTTTTTTTTAAAGAGGGTAGCTGGGTGAACCTTTATGTATATATACACATGTACTGGTAATCAGCTCCCAGATCAAGATATAAGACATTTCTCTAACCCCAGGGTTCCACCTGCTCCTTCCCACTTAAAACTTGGCCCCCAGAGGTAACCACTGTCTGACTCCTACTGTATAGCAAGGTTGCCTGTTCGCTATCAAGTGGTTGCTATTTTCTGTGGTTTCTTCCACCCAACATGTCTGTAGGGTTCATCCATGGCATTGCATATATCAGTAGTTTGTTTCTGGATGGGTAGTATTCTATTGTATGAATATACTACAATTCATTTGTCCATTCTACCATTGATGGGCATTTTGGTTGTTTTTTAGTTTTTGGCTATGAACATTAATATAGTCTTTTGGTGAATAAATGTACTCAATTCTGTTGGATATATACCTACGAGCAGAATTGCTGTGTCAAAGAATAGATGCATGTTTTATTTTAATAGACACTGTAGATCAGCTCCCCCAAAAGGTTGAATTAATTTATGAAAGTTAGTTTCTTCACATCCTTCCTTGCCAATAGTTGGCATTAGCAGTCTTCAATTCTTGGTAAGTGTAGCAGTATTTCCGCGTGCTTTTCGTTTGTATGCCCCTAATGAATAATAATGTTGACTCCTTTAATAACTAATTAGCCATTTGGTTAACTTTTTGTGAAATGAGTATTCAAGTAGTCTGGTTTTTTAATGGGCTCATCTATCCCCTATGATTTCTAGGAATGCTTTATATTTTCTGGATATGAATCTTTGTTCGGCATCATGAATATATCCTCTTAGTCCAGTGGTTGGCAAACTCATTAGTCAACAGAGCCAAATATCAACAGTACAACGATTGAAATTTTGAGAGCCAAATTTTTTAAACTTACACTATATAGGTAGGTACATTGTTATTAACTTAATTAGGGTACTCCTAAGGCTTAGGAAGAGCCACACGCAAGGGGCCAAAGAGCCGCAGGTGGCTCGCGAGCTGCAGTTTGCTGACCACGGTAACCTAGCCTGTGCCTTGCCTCTTCAGTTTCTTATGATGTCTTCATTTCATTTTGTTTTAAAAATAAACATACAAGAACATTGAGTTTTTAAAAATGACAGTCTATGAGATTTGACGCATGTATAAATAATGTAACCATCACTGTAATCAGGATGCAGAACAGTTCTGTCCCTTCCCCAAAATTGCCTTGTGCTGACCTTTGTAGTCATAGCCTTCCCCCATCTGTAACCTCTGGAGAATCACGAATCTGTTCTTTGTTGCTATAGTGTTGCCTTTACCAGCATGCCATATAAATGGAATCATATAGTGTGGGTAGACTTTTGAGTGTGAGATTTATCCATGTTGTTGCATGTATCAATAGCCATTCCTTTTTATCACTCAGTGGTCGTCTATCATATGGATGCACCACTGCTTATTCACTTGTTGAAGGAAATTTGGGTTGTTGACACTTTTTGACAACCAGAACTTGCGCTGCTATAAACATCTGTGTACAGGTTTTTGTGTAAACATATGTTTTCATTTCTCTGGATTAAGTACCCAGGAGAGGGTTACTAGATCATTTGTGTATGTATGTTTAACTTTATACAAATATGCCAGTCTGTTTGTGTTCCCATCAGCAATGTGTGGGAGTTCCGGGTGCTCTGTACCCTCACCAACCACGTTATTATCACTGTTTCTATTTTAGGGTTCTAGTAGCTGATGGCGGTATTTCATCATAGTTTTACTGTGCATTCCCTAAAGGCTAAATTGTTGAGCATTCATTCTATGGGCTTATCTGTCATACATTTATTCTCATTGGTAAGATCTGTTCAAGCATTTTGCTCCCCCTTTTTAAAATCAGGTTGTTTTCTTACTGTTGAATTTTGAGAATTCATGTATTCTGGATATAAGTCCTTTGTTAAAAAGACTATCTTCCATTAAATTGACGTTGCATCTTTGTGAAAAATCAGTTTGCCATATTCTGTGATTATTACCCATCTTGCATGTTTACTTTTTCATTAACTTCTCATAGTTATTGTAAATTCCCTATCTGATCATTCCAAACTCTGTATCATACCTGTCAGGTTCTGATGCTTGCTTTGTCTCTTCAGACTGTATTTTCTTCTTGCTTTTAAACATGCATCGTATTTTTTGGTTGAACGCCAGACATGATGGGTCAGGCAGGAGGAACTGGGGTGATTAGGCTTTTAGGGTGAAGTTTTATGGTAATTGGACCAGGAGTTGGCCTGTGATTATTGTTTGCTATAGCTGGAGGCTTCTTCTAGTTTCCGTGTTTTTTGATGCATCCCTGTAGTCTTTGGGTTTTCCTAAGGACTCTACACAGAGGCTGCTTTGCAGCTAGCTCCCTCCGTGGGAACCCCCGTTGTCATGTACCGGAGCCCTGATGATGTGGGTAAGGTGTAGGGAAAGGGGGGTGTTCTCTGATCATATCATTAAATCTTTTCTTTTTAAGTAGGCTTGAGTCCTTGTGCTGTGACCTTCAGAAGCAGTTCTTAGCTTTTTCTTTTTTTAATCTCCTTACAAGAGACACGAAGGTTCATGGGGCTGGAGTTGACTAAATGCCGTTCCTCCAAACCAGATAAGACTCTGTAAAGAGAGTGAGCCTTTGTTATGGCAACCACACTGGGTGTTTTTGGAAATGGTTAATTTTCCCTTCCCTGCCTGAAACCATGGTGGGGCTCCTGGAGATAAAACCCATAGAAGTGCGGGGCCCCCAGAAGAGCTGAAACCATAAGGTCTGTTGATTAATTTTTATGTGTGAAGATTTTCCAGTTACCTTTTTCTTATTGATTTCTAATTTCCATTGTGGTCATAGAACGTATTTTGAATAATTTCAATGTTTAAAATGTATCAAGGTTTGTTTTAGGATCCCGGATACGTTCCGTTTTGGTGACTGTTCCTCAGGAAGGATGTGGTAGGAAATCAGTCGAGCTGGTTGGTTGGGGTGTTTTCGGTTCTGTCTCCTGGCTGATCTGCTTTTTGTTCTGTTGCTTGCTGAGAGGAGTGCTGAGCTTTCTGCCTGTAACTGTGGATTTATCCGTGTCTCCTCTTGGTTTTATTGAGTTTTGCTGCATCTTAGTGTCTCTGATTTAAGAGCGGACTGCTGCCGTGCTACAAGCACAGACCAAAGCCTGGCGGCGAGGGGCCATTTTTTGCAGAATGGACTTTGTCCACAAGCCGCAGTCTGACACTGACATCAGCCCTGACAGTGTGCGCCTCAATTTTGATGCCAGACACCTTATGCCAGGACATCTCGGACTTCCAGGAATTTCACATAAAAACCGTATGGAACATGTATGACATACACACATATAACATAAAGAAGGCGCGGTTACTTCTTTGATTGCAATGTATAAACACAAATGTAACCCTGCCATTCCCTGGAGCATTATCCCAATTCGTTGAGCTTCTGCTTCCCGGCATATGTCGCCAGTTTGGCTCAAATAAACTCACAAAAATTCTTTACAGGTTTCAATGGGTTTTTTTTTACGTTAACAACAGATTGAGTAAAACTGCGTGTCACACCAAGGATCCACAGAGCTGCAGAGCGACCGAGAGTGACACTAATGCCTTGGTTTTTTATCACATCTCTCAGCTAAACTGGGGACATCTGATCAAAAGGCAGGAATTATGGGGAAAAACACACACACATAAACACAGGCCCAAAATGGCCGTCATTCCTTCTAAAAGCCCACGATAACAAAC